CTATCATCTGAAGTACTTTGGCCAACTGATGAGAAGGAAGAAGGACTCCCTGGAGAAGAGCCTCATGCTGGGAAATATTGAAGGCAAAAGAAGGGGACAACAGAGAATGAAGTGGCTGGATGGAGTCACCGAAGCAGCCGGCGTGAGCTTAAATGGACTCCAGAGGATGGGAGAGGACAGGAAGGCCTGGAGGAACGTTGTCCATGGGGTCGCGATGGGACGGACACGACTTTGCAACTAACAACAACAACCAACATAGGACAAGCTACTGTATACAAACAGAAAGGAAACCCTACACTTGCTAGCACTGATGATGCCACATAGTTGGGTAATGAAATGTCTGCAAGAAAACCACCAGCTCCAAAAGCATCAAGAACCCCATAGTTCAACCCTGAGCTATGAATTTCTCTTCTACCGGAATCGTATTACAACATTTCCCCCCCACCCCCGCGTAGAAACAAGCGAAAAAAGCAACATATCCAACACTCACCTCTCGCACATTAGTTAATTCCAGTAGTTCTCCAAAGACGTAGATCCCAGGAGCCTCCAGCACCTGGTTGATGAGGGCAATCAGAGCTGAGCCACTGGTGCCTCTGGCTAATAAAATGAACTGCTCCAGGAGGTTACAGGCTGGTTTCTGCTCCCCTGCCATTCTCGATGCTTAACACTGCAAAAACAGAAGTGCCACAGCTGCTGTTCAATGTTTGGTTCAAAAGGGATATTGTGACAGAAGCCAGTATGATGAATGAAAACCCTTCAGCTTTATTTCATATCTTAAGAAGTACAGTCCTAAAGGAGCAATTAATGTCAAGAGATCCTCAACCCTAAAAGGGGGAGGGGGGACCCAAAGTACCGGTATTCGTTTATGAAGGCTGGGAAAAAGAAGGGTGACAATATTTACACATTTCTGCTTTTCTCGTTGATTGTAAAAACACAACTACCGTAGTACATTATATATTAGGGCTCAGTGGAATTTGTACAATATTAACTAGACAGTAATAACACTCTAATACTCTATTGAGCCACTATGGCACAGCGGGTACAATGCAGACCAGCAGGCTACTTCTGCTGACTGCCGGCTGCCTGCAATTTGGTACTTCAAATCTCATCAGGCTCCAGGTTGACTCGGCCCTCCATCCCTCTGAGGTCGGCAAAATAAGGACCAGGATTGTTGGGGGCAACATCCCAACCCTACAGACTGCCCAGAGAGGGCTGCAAAGCACTGTAAAGCGGTATATAAGTCTAAGTGCAATTGCCATCATTCTAGGTATCAACCAAGAACCTTCTTAAAATGTACAATGTTCCGAGTAGTGCAGTTTTTTGCAGCTCCGCTGGTGTTATTGCAGGAAGCTGCAATTTGTTGATGTATCTTGTAAAATCCATGGACATGGTACCAAGTGCCCCGATGACAATGGGTATCACTGTTACAATTATTATTCTTGTGGTTGTTGTTATTATTGTTATTTTATTCATAAACATTTTGGATACAGTGCATTGTCAGGGTATATCATTTACAGGAGAGAGAAAAAATGGAAAAATATGTATACATATACGGGAAAAGAAGTCTTAAATTGTTTTTACATACACGTAGTTCTTAATGTATGACCACAACTGAGCTCAAAATTTCTGTTGCTAAGCAAGACAGTTGTTAAGTGAGTTTGGTCCCATTCTACATTTTTTTATGCCACATACATTAAGTTAGTAGCACGGCTGTAAAGTAAATCTGGCTTCCCCATCAACTTTGCTTATAAGGAGGTCTCAAAAGGGACACTGCAACCGTCATAAATATGAGCCCACTGCCAAGCGTCCGAAGTTTGGATTATACAGTTGGGATTCATAAATAAGCAACTTACATACATACCAGTCAGGGGCTTACAAAGAAAGTGAGGAAGGTCTCCACTAGATATTGAAGATTCAGAGCCTTCTGTCCAAATGTCCCAGAGGCAATAACCGCTGTTACTTCAGGTTCCAGTGCGCTCAGAAATACAGGCCAGGAGAAAGAAATGGACAGAGCACACAACTGGTTACCACACGACCTGCTGTGTTTAAGGGACTCGGTGGCTGCACATGTTCCCTGCAAGAGAGAGGAGAGAAATCAACAAAAGTGCTTTAGATCCGGCCTGCCTGTGACTTGGATGTATTCTCAAACTGGGTCTAAATGGTATTTTCAAACCTTACAGTATGTTTGGATAACTCACTTGCACCTTGGCCAACAGTTATCCTGTCACTCTTCAGTTGCTTAGGTCTCCCACTACCACACCTATCATCCCCAGCCACCCAATCCGCCTTTTTCCTTAAGGCTATTCCCCTGGTCTGGATTCCACCTCGTCTTAGGGCCTTCACCCACACCCCACACCCAACCNAAGGCGGAGTCAATTGTGAGCCTGGTGAGAGTCGAACTTCCTAGCTGTGGGCAGAGTTAGCCTGCAACACTGCTTTCTAAACACTGTTTCACCACAGACGGATGGAAGGAAGGAAGGAGGGAGGGAGGGAGGGAGGGAAAGCAATAGCACTTAGACTTATATACCGCTTCATAGTGCTTTTACAGTCCTCTCTAAGCGGTTTACAGAGCCAGCCTCTTGTCCCCCAACAATCCGGGTCCTCATTTTATTGACCTCAAAAGGATAGACGGCCGAGTCCAACCTTGAACTCCAGGATTGAATTCCAGACTGTGGGCAGAGCTTGCCTGCAATACCGCCTTCTGACCACTGCGCCGCCAGGGCCGGCATAAGACACTTACCTCCGTCTCCACCTGTTGTTGAGTTCGGTTGTGGTTCTCCTTGTACTGGTTGGCTCTAAGTACCTGCTGCTCAATTCCTAACAGGACGGCTTCACACCCATCGCACCTGCCAACACAAAACTTCCACCATCACGGATGGGAGGGGAGGAGAAGGGAGGAGAGGAAAAGCAACCATGCTGCCTAAATTAGGGAGAGGGGCGATACCACTACCACCCACCACAACCTGTCGGGCCAGAGGGAGAGAGGGAGGGAAGGAGGGGAACAGCTCACCACTCATGGAGGGTTTTAATGATGTTGCTGATGTCCTTCCTTTGAATGTCACGCCCGATGCAGAAATCCACTTCCAGCACTTGATTCCGTTGATCCAGTTTGCCTTGGATGATGTCCGTGTAAACGGCTTCGATGATCAGGTCTTCCAGCTCCCGGAGGTTCCGCATCTCCAGGTCTTTCAGCAGCACCGAATATGGGATGCACTGGGGGGCAGGGGGGGGGAGGAATAGCCGGAAGTGAGGCATAGCAAAAGCCCTGAGGCTTATACGGTCACGACGGTTCATTTAGTGACCGTTGAAACTGCACTGGAAAAAAGGGGGCTTGTAAATCTCGCGCTCGCCTGTTATAATTTTAAGCCACAAACGCCTTTGCTAGGATCCAGGCAAACACTCCCTCCCAAAAGGCACGGCTGGGTTCCTAATGCTTTCCTGCCATGGACATCTTTTCCAAAAACTGCATTTAAATGCAGAAAACAACACCCACGGACAATGCTTGTGTTTTAAAAGGAATGCGGGTTTTTATGGCAATATTTAAATATGGCTTTTGTGTCTTTATGATTTTATGTATAATGGCCAATCGCCTTATGAAGGAGAAAGAGACAGAAAGAGAGAGAGAGAGAGAGAGAGAGAAAGGGAGGAAGGAGGGATAGAATAGATTTAGACTAGCAGAGTTGGAAGGGACCTTGAAGGTCTTCTAGTCCAACCCCCTTCCTAGGCAGGAAACTCTATACCTTTCCAGACAAATGGTTATCCAACATCATCTTCACTCCAGTGTTGGGGCATTCACAACTTCTGGAGGCAACTTCTGTTCCACTGATTAATTGTTCTGTCAGGAAGTTTCTCCTCAGTTCTAAGTTG